GTATCCTGGAGGCGGACAAACCTCAAACCCCGGATTTGGGCCTTTTGGCTGCACCATCCACGAAGGATCCCATTGCAGCTATCACAACCAGCGGCAGCCGACACCTCTTCGTCGCTCGTTGCAGTGGCGAAGTGGTGCGCTATCGTCTTCCGGATCTCTGGTTCGATCTGGCCTTTCAGGCAACGGAGAAACGACCGAATCGCATCGAAGTGAACGCCGATGCCTCGTAAGTGATATTAACTGCTTTCTTGCCTACTACTCGTTTACGCCAATAACAGCGCGTAAAAGAAGACGCACGCACACTCTTGAAAATTATAACGTACTACTCACAAAATGTGAGTAGCACTAGTTTTCAAACAAACTCCCGGCTGAAGGTGACAGATTCAGTGTCGGGGAATAAACAGGGGATTTATATACTCATCCAACCGCTTCTTGAAGTACTGTCTTAAGCCACCCGAAACGACGGGTGTTTGGACTATGAATTGTGTCATTTGAATGGAAGATCATCACTCTTTCCATCAGAACGAACATGGGAAAATGACACTTGCCTAGGAATGGAGTTGGATATGGCGATTAGCCAAAAGGGGAGGATGTCGACAGTAATAGTGGGACGATACGCTTTTTGGTTCCCATGACCCCTTCTTGTTATTTCTGTGGTTGATACGCTGAATCTCTCGCAACTATGTCACGCAGCTACAGAGACTCGGCGAATCACTTGTGTGGGTACTCAGCTAGTATCTGCGATATCAGTCAGGCAACTAAATAAACTACAGTGGACGAGATGGCCATTAGCGCAACATTTCGTGAATCCTCTTCTGGGATATGTGCAGTACTTATGCATTTTCTACGCCCCCAAGCGTTCCATTTCCATCATCTTTTCTATGGCGACGGATTGTTATCCATAATTTTCGGCTAGAAAGTGACATGTTCAAGGGCTGAGTCTCCATTCATTATATTGGTTACATCTTAAGTATTACTAAAATACATACAGTAGTGTTTATAAAGGTCTTAAATTTATACCTCACCTGGCTCTTCAACTTACAAAAGCATCCTGGGTCTGATCGATGAACACGGTATGCTAACTCTTCATGAGGTGCCTGATGGTCAGGACGAGAACACGGCTTCTCAGAAGGACCAGGTCTCGTTTGACAGTTTCCTTCGAAAGGATGTTTGGGACTTGAAGTTTTCCGAGGTGAGGACAGTCATTCTAAAGTTTCGTGACTAAAGTATAGAAAACCGCCTCGTGTTTTTCAATTAAAAATCGATAATTGTTTATCAATTTCAACCCTTAAGGATGACTCGAAAATGTTTGTGGCGATGGAGAAGACAAAAATGTTCATTTTCCACGGCGTGGAAGCTGAACCAGCAGTGCAGACCTCGGCTTACATTGCCGGGTTCCGTGACCTTGAGGTGCTTGGAGTACTGCTCGATGATCTTATTCAACAAGGGGACCAACCAAAATTGAATTCGATCTCAAATATACCTGTGAAGGTGAGTTGTGCCTCATGTATCACATCTCGTAAACATTTGGTGCACTTTCTTCGTCATATGCTCTGCAA